AAATTAGTTATTGTGAGTGTATCCAAGCTCATTATATTCTAGACGTACCTCTTCAAATTCCAAATCATGAATCACATATTCCAGAATTAATCTTACAATTTCCAGATTTTATCATTTCTTTTCCTCTTATTTCCTAAACCATGACCTTTTGGAGCTTTAGATGCAATCATAAACTTATAAATAAAATTATTTCGAATGCACTTGAGCAAGAGTATAAAGTAGGGATGGCTTCATATTTTCTAATATATGGAGAGAGTTGAATTTCCGATCAATAGACTTGATCAAAGATATGCGACTGACCAAATATCGTGGTCCAAAAATGTTTGTTCATCATAACTTTTCCTAAATTAAGTAGGTTTAACGTACATGAGGACTTCAACATTAGTTGGCTAACCTAATATTGAGACATTTTGGTACCACAAAGACCTCTTGGTGTTTGATTCCTTTCCACATTTCTTCTTTGAATTATATAAAGTTTAGTTATTTTGCCGTACTATGTTTCTTTGTTACTTAAATTATAAACAATCATTATGCTAGATTATGATTTCACTTAAACCATTTAACATTTTGAACTTGCATTTATTTCCCTTCAATGTTTGTGTAATACCTACATACATGTTTTAATATAGTTATATCCTTTTAGAATCTATGTTATACTATCTCGTAATATAAAAAAAATTGTACTAATAACATGGTGTACACGTGCGTTGCACGTGACGAGAAACTAGTACAGTTTAGAAAGACCAATATTGTAAGTCATGATATTTTATATTTTCATGACAGTGTTTTACCTTAGCAGGAAACTGCTACTAATAGTGACAAACTAAGGCCATTATGAATGAAGATATTTTACACTTTCATGGCAGTGTTTTACCTAAGCAGCTTCGAGGAAATTGGTGTAATAGTGACATTCGCTGCAATACCAGACTTTTGTTTCTTCACGCTAGCACGAAAGCAACTGCGGCAGACCTCATTTGTCGTGAAGAGGGTCAACTTCCACAGGAAAATAGTTTAAAAACTTGTGAATTAAAAAGGAGGTTTTATTTTTCTTTTTTTTTTTTGG